GACCTAGCCGGCAGGCGGCGTCCTGCCTAGGCCGGCGTCCCCGCCCTCCCCGCGCCCGCCCGGAGGCTGGCTTTTCCTAGTGTCTGCTGAAACTTTCCTGGGCGCCGTCGCTCCCGCTCGCTGCCTTCCACAGCCGTTTCCTAGACCTGTCTAAGCCTCGAGCAGCCGCGGTGGCCTCTGGATCTTCCTCCATCCGCGAGGCCCGGTGGGGCTCTGTTAATGGAATAGATCAGTATCACATGTTTGTTGAACGAGTGCGCGAAGGGCTGGCCTGGCATCCCTGCAGCGTAATATACGATCAAGTCTCACTCAAGAAAAGCTTGGATTAGACACCAATTTAGCACCCTGGGCCACGACCCAGCGGTGAACTCAGGCATTCAGGACTTGCAAAAACCATTTTCTTTTTCCCACCAGAGGTAATTGAGGCAGTTTGTATTTTTTTTTTTATTTTCCAAAATAGTTTGCTTGTAAAAAAATAAATAAATATTTTTTGGTCTAATAGTTTTGCATCCTAATGTTTGGTTTGAAAATGAGGTGGCAGTTCTCAAGAAGCACCGTAGTGACGAGGGTCTAGATAGGAGTTGCCGAGTTCCAGTAGTCGGTCAGTAGTTGGAAACGGCCTTTAGAACGCGGTGATACCTGCTCCATCTCATGCGCTCCAGTTAGCTTGAAAACTACTTGGATGTTGAGAATGATCCAACTTGACACAAAGCACTAGATTTCTGTGCTGTAGATGAGGTGAGAAGTCGCCACGCATCTCGGAAGTTTTGCCCAGCCTTGTTTGTTTTGGTGAGCTGTTGAGCAGGGTGCAGTTGATAGCAAGTCATGAAACCTGCCTTAGGAAGTCCTTCTCTATTGTAGACTGCGCTTGTCCCTGCAGTGCACCTGCTACAGGCCTGTTCAGCCTAAGGAGGGGCAACTCAGGTGACTGAAGATGGTGTCCTACCAGGCCCTCTCACTCCATTTTCACCCTGGAGGTAGAAAAGTGTCCTGTACTTGGCCAGGTGGTGTGGTAGTTAAGGTGGCTGGATCCCACATGGCTGACTGAATGGTTTGCATCTGGACCCCTCACCTTGAGAAACATGCAGTTCACAGCGTGCCCACAATTCCTGGAGGAGAATGGAGAAGGGAGTGAGGCATGGCCATCCCCTTGGGGGTACTTCTCACTTTCCCTCTGTCTGTCTCTCTCTAGCTAGCACCGGTACCCTTTTTTTTTTATTTTCCAAAATAGTTTGCTTGTAAAAAAATAAATAAATATTTTTTGGTCTAATAGTTTTGCATCCTAATGTTTGGTTTGAAAATGAGGTGGCAGTTCTCAAGAAGCACCGTAGTGACGAGGGTCTAGATAGGAGTTGCCGAGTTCCAGTAGTCGGTCAGTAGTTGGAAACGGCCTTTAGAACGCGGTGATACCTGCTCCATCTCATGCGCTCCAGTTAGCTTGAAAACTACTTGGATGTTGAGAATGATCCAACTTGACACAAAGCACTAGATTTCTGTGCTGTAGATGAGGTGAGAAGTCGCCACGCATCTCGGAAGTTTTGCCCAGCCTTGTTTGTTTTGGTGAGCTGTTGAGCAGGGTGCAGTTGATAGCAAGTCATGAAACCTGCCTTAGGAAGTCCTTCTCTATTGTAGACTGCGCTTGTCCCTGCAGTGCACCTGCTACAGGCCTGTTCAGCCTAAGGAGGGGCAACTCAGGTGACTGAAGATGGTGTCCTACCAGGCCCTCTCACTCCATTTTCACCCTGGAGGTAGAAAAGTGTCCTGTACTTGGCCAGGTGGTGTGGTAGTTAAGGTGGCTGGATCCCACATGGCTGACTGAATGGTTTGCATCTGGACCCCTCACCTTGAGAAACATGCAGTTCACAGCGTGCCCACAATTCCTGGAGGAGAATGGAGAAGGGAGTGAGGCATGGCCATCCCCTTGGGGGTACTTCTCACTTTCCCTCTGTCTGTCTCTCTCTAGCTAGCACCGGTACCCTATAACAAACAAACAAACAAAAACAAAGTTTAGCCGAGAGTTGGCCTCTTCATACCTATTGCTATATGTGCAGCAGGAGAATGAGTCTGACGGTGTCCTTTCACCTTTATAAAGCAGATCAACCTGCTTTTCTGGACTCTTCCCTCCACCAGACCAAACACCCTCCATTTCTCCAGCCAGTCCTTACAGATTTTTAAGACCCTCTGGCCTCTGTCTCATCTGCCAAGGTTCCTACGGGAAACAGAAAACCAACTGAGTTATTCTGAAAATCATTTGGCCAATGGACTATTTCCAGAGCTGAGACAAGATTGATGGAACCAAGAAGAAGCTAATGGAGGGGGAGCTGTTACCATCCCAAGCCCTGAAAGGACATGGGGAGTAAGCCTGAGCCCATTAGAAGCTGAGTTATGGAAGAGAGGCTGCCGACAAGAACAGCTCAAGAGGAACCCAAGCACTGTCAGAAATATCAAATGAAGCAGGGAGCAAGGCCACAGGAAGTGTGTCCTCTGCGTGTTTTCTCTCCCTGTCCCAGAATTCTCTGCTGGTATTCCATTGGCTGAACTCGGTGGGAGGCCACTGGCAAGGGATTCTGTGTGATGCAGTGCATAGGGGCCAGCTCCCTTAGGGCACAAGCAGTGCAGAGGCTACCAGATGGTGGGAGTGGGAGTTAGTGAAGACTTCCTATCAGATGCTCTCAAAGGGTCCACACGATATAGCAGAGTCTGTGTCAGCCAGCCCAGATTAGAACAGGGCTGTTCTTATTCTAGCATAGACCCCATAGTCTATCAGTGTACTAAGGTCACTTTTATTCTGCCAGCAACATCGCATGGTTAGCTCTCATTGAGCAGCACATCATCATCTTACTCAAAGGCACTTCGTATTCGTGGTTCCTAAACCATACTTGTCCCTATCTTGGATTTACTCAATCGGGTTTTTCAAACCAAGTGCAAGATCTTATTGTTATCCCTGGTATATGGAACTGTAAAGTCCTGATTCTGTCGTTCAGTCTGTTAGCTATTCAGGGGTTCTACATGCATGAAGGGAAGCGCACATGGCTTCTTCTCCAGGGCCAGCTGCCTCCCAGCTGCTGCTCGGTGGTGATCCGACAACGCAGTTGGAGAAGGCAGGGAGGCTGGCCTGAAATGACTGCTCTTAGTGAGTGTGCTGCGTCCCAGTGATCCATCCATTCAGTCACAAGAAGAATGGGTCTTGCTCTGTATTCTGCTTACATCTGTGTGCTTGGCAGAATCTGCCTTCTTCCACTTTCCCCCTAGTATTCTGGAACTTCTCATTCATCGTGATTCCTCAAGATCACTGACATTGATCTTTATAAATCATCTGCTTGCTTTGGCATGGAGTCTTTCTGGGCCCAAGGACTCCCAAGTATCATTCATCTGCTACCTGCTGTGTCCTGCTATAGGACTCAAAGAGTGGAAGGACAGGATACACGTTAGTTATAATATTTAGGTCAATTTCATATACAGATATGTCTTCATGAGGATATCCACTGCATATCTCATAGAGTGACTATATGTCTCATAAGAATATGTTAAATGTGTTTTTATAAGAAAAACTAGTATCAGGCAAGTGAGAATAGGAGTTAAAGCATGGTCTTTAGGTGCAGACACACTCGGATTTGATGTCTGGTTTTGCCTCTTCTTTATTGCTGTGAGTTAGGACAAGTTCCTTAAACCTTCTGAGTCTCTGTTGCTTCATCTATAAAATGGGACTAAATTTCCTTCTTTACATGGCATAGGTATTGGCTCTTAAAATTGACAATTCAACTTAAAATGGTCTTTGGAATTTGAAATAGTCTTTTTATTATGACCTGTGGAAGTTTCTGCAGGTTCTGTAAATAGCCTAGTAGTCTGTGACTGTAAGAAGCATGTGTGGCATTATTTCACTTCCTTTGGGAGTTAAGGGGTCTTTCTTTGCAAGTCAGATTATCCTTTTCCCTAACATGTCACATTTCAGCATTCTAAACTGTAAACTATCTGGGCCCGTTCTCATGAGTTGTAGCGAAGTGGCTTTTATTTTTTTCTCTGTGGGTCTTCTCTTTGGGGTTTCTAGTCCCCATTTATGTTGTACTTGGCTATCCTGAGTTGATTCTTAGACTAGTAACTTTTCAGCATCTGCTTTCAGCTAGAAGACCACTTCTCAGCTTTCTTCCTCCAGATCTGTCCTGAAGACTGGTCTTTCCAGAAGCACCATCTTGAATCATATCTGCTAGCTGAAGTCCCCCCCCATTAGGCCAGTAGCAATGGCCATTCCTGTCATCTACCCTTTCATTTAAGTTCTTCTCTCCCAGAGTCTTAGTTTTGTCCATTGCCTGAAGCATCCAATGAGGGCTTTAATTTCCTAATTCTTACAACAATAAGATTCTTATTGGCTATCCAATGTTGCTGGGGACAACCCCCAATTCTGCAACAGATTTATGGCTTCTAGAGTAAACAGAACCCTTAGCACTGTGGAACAGTCATTTCCTTCTCTTCTAATCATCTGGCATTGTCATTTTCCAAACTGCCTTATCCAAACTCTCACCACTCAAACTCTTCCTCAGACCTCGAGATACGAAACTGAGGAGTCGTCTGAGCCCCTTTATGTCCCCTTCACTCCATCTCTCCCACCTGTGTCTGCACCTCTCCTTTCATACTCCCTGTTCAGTCCCTTCTCCCTTAGCTCATGAGGTCATTCCTTTCAGCCTCCTCCCAGACTTGGTGTTGGCAGAGCATCAATGGCTCATATTCCCCAGTCTTGTTCTTGCTCTCTCTCCTCCTAACACTCTGCAAATAGGCCTGCATCTTTCCCATTTTAAGAAGATCTC